ACCCTGAAGGCATAAGATGGGATTGACATCACTAGCCTTTAGTCAAAAAGATCAGATCTAAGCTAGCCATCTAAGTTCCCTCTTGAGTCAGTACTTACTGGCCTCTAGAGATGCCATCTCTTCCGTGCCTTTTGCATGGTAAAACCTAGGGGATAAAACTCTCTGAATCAATAGGAGGAACCTTTGCCTGGAACAGTCTTTCACAACCCCAGAACTTGATTAACACAGAATAAAGCAAACCAGTGCTGCCTCATTCCCCTTATCTGAGCTTGTACTTGGGAATTGCAGTGTCTAAGGTATGGCGTTTGTGTCCCGTGCAATAGTGCGCCTGCTCGCCTGCCCCATTCCCCTACCTCAAGTTTCTCCTGATGTCTACGACTAAACATCTTTCCCTGGCTGATTGGCATGGTTCACAACACACTGGAGATCTTGAAGACTGTTACCATGAAAACCTCTCAAATATAACAAACAGCTTTAAAATACTGTGCCAGGGGAGATTGTTCTGGAATAAAATTTCCTAGATTTGGCCCACAAACTCTGCCCTGGACTGCCATCATACACAGCTATTTTCAATGCAGCCTGACTAGTAACATGCAGCAATAAACTAGTGACAAGTGTAGTTGCCAGCAGAGGGAAAACTACATGGAACCATTTTCTGAAAATGCACTTGGGTTGAAACCAAAATGCTCTTTGCATGTATTTGGCAGTGAAAAGCAAAAATATGTATGATTGGTATTGTATGATTATTTTTTCTAATTTAAAAAGGATATTAAGGTATTTGAATGCATCCAGAAGGCAGCAACAGAACTGGTGAAGCTGCTGGAAGGTGTGTCCTTTCAGTCTGGAGAAAAAGAGCTTATGATAAATGTAACAGGCAGTTTTCACATCAGCTTTTTCATACACCTTTTTTTTTTTTTCAGCTTCCTACAGAGTATCAAACTGTTAACAATTAATGAACCAGTGTTATGGGAATCCTGTCAGTAAATATTGCCATGGGATAAGACAAAAATCACCTCCGATTCCGGTTGTGGTAGGGATTGTTGTATAGGTTTTGTTAGTCTATTTCTTTTCCATAATTGTGTTTCTTTTTTGTTATTTGCAAGAAACAGAAGAGATATGAAAGCCTCCTGGTTCTGTCTAAAATGAATTCCAAAAGCCTATATTACAGCCATTTCCATGCTAAAACCCAAAGGGTGCAGTTTCATTTTCTTGTGATTGCAGGTTTCATGATTGAAAGAGGTGATTATGCAAAGATTAGTACAGAAAGATTATTGAGATTTGAGATGGAAGTTGGATTTGTGCTTGAAACAGTGCAGAAGTAGGTAATGCCAGTTAGCAGATCACTGAGTATTTCAAGGGTTTACATGTAACAGTTCTCTCAAGGGGTTAATGCAACATTAGGAAAAAGTACAAAACATCCCTAAAGTTTCAGAGAGCGTATAGTTTTAGAACTCCTAGATTTGTTTCCTGTGGAAGTCATACTATTACTGTTTGACAGGAACAAATTTCCACAGATGTAGAAGAGAAAGTATGGGTTAATCCCTCTTTCTAGAGGGATTAGCCGCTTTTGGTGTCACCTCCCTCAGGACGCCACAGAAAACCTTCCATGGTTCTGTGGTTTGCAGAGCAGGGCACAGCCGTTATTGTACTTCTAGTAGGAAAAACTTCCCCCTGCGGTTGCATTAGGTCTTACCTTCTTCCAAAATGTTGAATCTTGATGCCAGTTTGAAGATGTACCTAGATCATTTGTTCTGGTAGATTCTTCCAGATCTTGGAAACACTGCGTGTCTGAGGTGACCTCTTGTGGCTGGGGGTAACAGGGCAAGGAGGCATTATATGCTTTCCTTCATCATGAGACTTAATTCTCTCTTGGATTCCAATCCTGCATGATCTGGGGTTATGTCACACCAAAAAAGTACAAAGTGCTTCTAACAAGTGAAGTAAGGGTCTGTACTGGAGTTTACCAACAAGAGAGTGAGCTGAGGATGAAAACGTACAGAGCAGACGAGCAGTGCAGCATTAGAGTATCGACCAGGATGAAGCTCTCGGGTTCCACACAGCTTCAGTTCAGCGCTTGTAGAGAAGTAGATGTACATGAAAATATTTGATAGGCATAACATCATCTGACATGGTTTATGTGCACTTGGAGCAGATGAACAGAAGTAGAGCAGGCCCTCACCAAATAACTAACCTCTAGTTTATTTGGCTCGTGCTCCCTTTATCTTGTCTGACAGTAGATGACAATCTTTTCACGAATATGTCAAACTCTGAAGGTCAAGGCGAGTGTGATTAACTCCCAAATGTGGTTGCTTATCTGTTATGTATCTAAACCTCTTAAATCTGCAACAGCGAGCTGGAAATCTCTCAGCACCAGGCCTTCCTTCCTGAATGACAGGGATAAAACCATTAGTGTTTTCCTATCATAAACTGCACCTGTTTTTAAACCCCAGACACTTAGGTGGGAACTCAGTGGACAAAGACAGAAAGAGAGGTAAACAAAAATTTCACCATACTTTATGTGCTGTGTTCAGGCTTCCTGTGCACGACACATTTAAGCAACTGTGTCCAAAATTTGGAAAGAATGCTTCAGGGAAGCATCGCTGTATGCTGACAGTGCCTGGCACAGCCCAGGCAAAACTCCATGTGCCTCCTTCCACATCCAGCTGGCTTCCTTGCGGAAAATCCCCTTTGCCTTTGGAGAGCCTTGTGCAATGCAAAGAGATTATTGCAGGACCGCTGCATCCTTTTACTGTCTCTGCAGTGTGGCCAGAGCCTCTGTTGAGGCCAATCTGCACTCTTTTCCAACCCAAAATCTTGGGCTCAGCCTGTGCCCTTCTCACCACGCAGTGTATAGCTGACCGTCATATTGGGGAACTCACCTCATCTCACATGTCGGAGTCAGTAAACTTGAAATAATTTTCAGGGATAAATATATGTGTTAGGGACAAATGCAGCAAAGGTGTTTGTGTGCATGCCATAAGCAGAGGGTGAATGTGTTTAAAAGTATACTAAATAATATAAATAAAAGCAGGGGACAGCCTTCTGCCCAGGGAGCTGGACTGGTGTTTGAGCTGTTGTAGTGGTGATGTGTGAAAAACCCTACAGTGGAGTAGACTTAGAAAAATAGAGCTAAATTTGGCATTTTCTCCAAATACTATTGGAAGACGATCATTCTGAAAGGATGCCGTTAAGTGAAATGGACCCTAATTCAGCTCATAATAAATGGAACATTTTTTACAAATTCTCAGCTAAAGAGGTTTCCAAAAAATGATTATTAAAACATAACATTTTGCCACTGTTAACAACCTATTACAGCAGCGGCCTGAAAGTGAGGGAATAAAAATTTACTATCGGTAACAAAACTGTCTAGAATATGTTCTTCACAGTCCAAAAAGGAGAAATGCAAATATTGTACATTTTTAGTCAGCCCTCAGAAACTGGGAAAATGAACAGTGAATGAGCTGTTTTCTTTCTGCTTTTTATAACTGGAAATATTTTCCCCCATTAAACACTTGGTGGCCAGTGTTTCATCTCTGTAGTGAATATTTTCCTCCAGCAACAACTATTGACTGCAGCAGGATATTATCTAAGTAAGAGCAACATGACTTGATTCATGGCTTTGATGCTTGACAGTGTTCCCTTTGTGCACAGAAGTATATGTGTGTCCACAGGGTTCAAACATATTTTGTGTATGTGTACAAATCTGATGTTTGTTTGTTTTTTAAACTGAGCAGGATTCTCAGTGGGATTTTTAAAAGGAAAGTTTTAAAAGGAAAGTGCTACAATTTTGCTTTTACTGATGCAGAGGTTAAAATTCCCAGTGGGAGCAGTCTTAGGCCAAGGACAAGCATTTCTGAAGATCTCACTCTGTGCTGGGAACACCCTTGAGCTGACATCTTTGTCTCTCCTTATTTTTGTGAAGTGTTAAACGCCACAGAGCTGTTGGCCTCAACTTGAGTGAAGAAAGCTTTTCTATGACAGCGAGGGCTTGGCTGTGTTTAGTTAGCTAGGCCATGGCTCCATGGCTGTGGAGAAGATGACCGCACTCCCTTTCCATTCATGCTGTTATTTATGAGACTCTGAGGTATTAGTTCAATGGTGATTTCCAGAAACATCAAAGGGGGAGAGAAAGGATGGGCAGGTAGTTTGAAAGCTGAGATGAGCTTTATGGAATTCGCCTCTGTTCCTCCACAGTCCAGCATGTCTTGAGTGCATCGCGTAGCTGCTTCATTATACAGTTCCTTCCCTGTAAAGCAGGGGTAATACACCCCATATCGCAAAGGCCATGGCTATGGGGTAAATCTATTCAGGATGGTGAAGTGTTCAAATTCTTATGTAATGGAGGGCAGATACGTACCTTGGACAGACTGGAAATTATGTCCCTCCAAAGCAATCTGAGCATTACCTACTGGCAGCTACAAGCTAATCCGACTTACTCTGTTTAGCAATATGATGCAGAACAGTAGATGACGAAAAAACATAGAAGCAACTTAAAGACATAATGTTCTCAAGTTATCTCACAAAAGCCCGTGAAAGGTAAATGTTTCTCGAGGATGAGACATCTCTGGCTAAGATGATTACATGCTGTAATGTGATAGCCATTGGGAGGCCTTTGCAATGAGCCTTTAGCCAAGTGTCACGTGAGGCACCGTAGGCTTCTGAGGTGGTTAGTCCCACTTGCTTCATTACATTATCTTTGAGAAATTCCAGGGAACTTGGAAATAAACAAGTGCACAGTCCTGCACTGTGCCTGGCTGGATTGGGCTGGGGTGGTGTGTTTCGAATAAGAAACTATTTCATGTGTACTCAGGGATTAGTCTGTGTGGCTTTATACATGTTCCTTTCACAGATGGCAGTGCCAGTAGGGATTCTTACTGTTGTTTTAGAACTCTGGTAATCACTTGCTTTCATGCCTTTGAAAGTGTAAACTGCCTGTTTCAGGGGTGTACTTGCAACAGTTTTATTAATTACACTCCGTTTCTTGTTTTGTTTGCTGGTAGAATACGTACACCAATGCAGACAAGCTTTTGGAGGCTGCAGAGCAGTTGGCTCAGACTGGGGAATGTGACCCTGAAGAGATCTATAAAGCAGCCCGGCATCTGGAAGTACGAATTCAGGACTTTGTTCGGAGGGTGGAACAGAGGAAACTTCTCTTGGACATGTCAGTCTCCTTCCATACCCACACCAAAGAGGTAAGGCGTGCGTGAGGGGATTTTTCTGTGTATTGCAAGTGCTGCAACAAGCTAACTCTGAAAACTCAGGTGATGTAGAAAAGGCATCTTCACCACACAGGGCTGATATCAGGTTCATTTGATGAATGTGACTGTTGTGAAGAGGAAACAAAATGTACATGAAACATATGAATGATATACTCCACTAAAATATAGGGACAACTTATCTAACACATCAAGCGGTGCTTAATTCACAAGAATGTATTGTTATAAAGCAAGAATTTTCTTGTAAGAACATGAGTTGATATTAACACGTTAGGTATAAACATGCTAGCAGTGTGATAGGTGTCCTCAGAGGCGTTCCATTTGAATGTGATGTTAATTAATGTAGCCATCGTTATTAAGTGTTACTGGAAATCTTACATTGTTTAATGAGGCAGACTTCACTTTTCAAAATTACAGTTAAAGAGCAAATAGCCACATACTGATACAGTGAATCAGCGAGGACCTGAATAACTGTTTAGTGTAATTGAAAAATATCCAGATAAGGCTGTCTAGCCAGAGACACAGTGGACAGGACATCAAATGGGAGGCCACTGGGGATGTAATTAAAGCATACTTAACATTTTTCTGCGGACCAAAGGCCATTCAGTGATGAGTGACTTTTAAAGATAGGGTTTCTGCTGAGAGAGATGGAATTAGTCAGAATAGCTGTTTTCATGCTCTGCAGCATCCGTTTGCAAAAGCACACTTGATCAGAAAGATGCTCGTAGAAGCTGAAAGCTTTGCATGTGTTTGTTAATTTACCTGTTTCAAAGAAGTTGTGTGTAGCAGGCTTCAACCTGTTGGGGAGCCTCCTGAAATAAATGGGGTATGCACATGTTCATATATATACAGAAGATAGTTGGAGCTACAGCGTGTCCATTATAGTTGTTGATTGACAGGAAAGTTGTCCTTTTACATCCTGCTTCTGCGATACACTGAAATCTAGTTACTTCAAGCTCGTGAATAGTACTATTGTTTCTAGAGTGTCTCAAACGCTTGCAGCTATGCTTGTTTGCTGCAGGCGAAACTTAATTGGTTATTTCCTCAGTCAAAATTATATCATAAGTTTCCTACTGTGATTAACCTCGCTTCACCTATGCAGGTGGTGACTAGTAACACAAAGATAGGTGTGACTCCAGGAAGTTATCAGTATAATATGTTTTCTATCATCTAAACTTCTGATGATGATTACCGGTACTGTGTAGCCTAATTTGGGGTTGGGAACTACAGCTTCCCTGCATAAAGGGTTTTGGATTGCAGTGCACTATGCAATCCAAATGTAGTGCACTTCTACCCTTCTTCAACAAGAAGGGAATTTTCCTGCTCACCTGGATTTAATGAGCCCTGTTTAGTGTATAGAAATGCAGATGTACAAAGATGCACGCTTTTTTTGAAACTATTAAAAAACCAGTGTTTTGTGACATCAATGCTGTTTACTAGATACTGAGTGTAAACACTAAATCTCTGCCTTATTGACATTTACGCATTGGGTAGAGAGGAGCTGTGATGCCTTTTTGGAAAGCTCAGTAAGTTCTTGTAGTCAGTTTTAGGGAGATGAATAGTGGTCAGACTCTGGGTGCCTCTTTCTCCAGAGGGACATATGAAGGAGCTGTAGCACTGAACTGTGAGATCAGCAAAGTTGGGGTGGACCCAGGAATCCACATTCATCAGAATGAATGACAGCTGTTTGGTTGGGTGCAAAGAGGCTGCTGAAGTTATTGCAGTCTCCAGCAGCACCCCAGCATCAGAGGATGCACAGTAGCTCTGCAAGAGATAGGAAATGTTCACTTCCTTCCCCCTGTGTTAATTCACTCCTGTGGGGGACAAACACTTACTTGGCTCTTCACATATATTGTAAGATGGTGAGTTAACCAATGTAATAGTCATTCTTCAATACAAATATAAGACTTCTGGATTCCTCTAAACTTAAGAAATGCAAATGTCCTTCCTTTGCTACCATGCCTATGACAGTATTATGTCATTTCTCTGTTTCATACCGACTGACCTCAGTTGGTTTTCCCTGGGCTCTGACTAGGAAATGTGCTCAGCCCAGTGAGACCTCCCAGCTTACAGAGCTGGGCTGTACCAAATGCTTGCTCTGGCTCCAGCCACTCGCCCGCTTGAAAAGGTCAAATCTGCACCATCCATGCTCATTTTATGAAACTGCTTAAAAATAAATTCACTGTGATTTCTAGGATTTCCGAAACAACAAAGGTAACATTACATTCCCATTTTAAAGTCAGAATTTAACAAGCAAAATTCTCTTTGAGTCAGTAGCACTTTTAGTGAGTTAGAGTTCAGAGTCAGATTTTAAGTCTAGCAGATGTCCTTTTGCTGGACAGTAAAATACAGGGAGATCTGAGATCCATTGCTGCTGCTTTACCAGGAGGCATTCAAGTTACAGTGCTGACACTAGCTTTGCCCGTCCTGCCATGCTGTGCCTGACGCTGGACTGTAGTATGCCCATCCACACCCAGCACCTGGAGTGGCTTGGGGTGCAGAGAAAGCCATTTGGCTGGCCTGTTAACGTGTTTAACACCCAGCAGATTTTGCATTATTCTAGAAGGCATTATTAGTTACTTAATAATAACCATCATTACTCATTTCACCCTTTGTAGTTCTTAAAACCATTTCTTAAACTATTAACAACAGTTTCCCTTATGTCTTTGGGAATGAATAAACAGTTCCCTCCATGTTTTCTTGGCAGTAATACCGGAAACTATGGGCTGGATGTATTTTTCATTTAAGTTTCCCAGATTTTCATTATTTCTTGGTATATTAATCTACTGAGACAGAACTGGTGAAAGGGAGAATAGAGTTGAAAAATCAGTCTTACTGACATGGTTTTTATGGAAATATTCTAAATATGTTCCTGCAATAAACATGTTGCGTCTGACAGTCTTCCTAGCACACAGGAATTACATTTCTGATGCGGTAATTCCTAGGAGTGGATGAGTGCATTGATTGGGAACTTCTCACTGCCTCACCTGTACTCTGCCCACCTCCTCCTCTCCACGTGTGACTGCTCAGATTCCCAGCACCTGAGAAACTTTTAACAGCTCCCAGTTTTAAAAAGTGATCTCGTCAAAGAAATGTTTCCTTTTGTAATCTACCTTGCTAGAATTCCTTCAGGACAATATATAGTATTGAATTAGGGAGTCATTTAAATCCAGAGATCCCATGAGCAATGAAAGTTAAGAGTAGTTTTTTTATACTACAAGAGACTTGAATCACTGCACATTTCATGTGAAAGCGTTGTAAGAGGATTCCTTCTGCTAAACACTGACATACGGTTGAAGGAATATGGGAAAGACTATCAATTAAGCATAACAATAATTTTGACTTTTTTAAAGTGGCCTTACTTAAGAATCCAGGCAATAGAGTGAAATAATGACTTTCTGGTATGGTAAAAAACATTTTAGAGGCATAAATTTAGAACGGTCTCTTAAGTGATTGTTAGTGTCATAACTCATGAATAATATAGTTGTTCTATTGCCCTGCCTATAAAAGAGATGATGTGTGTCCCACTGTCCTACACTATTCATTATGCTCTCTTAGTTGATAGCCAATATTTTCATACCCTTTTGTTCCAAGACATTCCTGATGGTGTGAGCAGAAACCTGGTACCTTGGGAATCAAATCCAATTATCTGTATGGCAGGGTGAAGTTATAAATTATTATACTGGAATAAATGCGTTCAAGAGACTTGTACCCAAATAATTTCTCTCCGGGCCAAGTGTGATTGAATTCAGGTTCTTTCTTCAGATTTGAATCAATTATTGGCAGGATTGTCAGATCTTGCAGTTTTATCACAAATCTCATGATAGTTGATGTTTCTCTGTGAGTTCTTAGCTGCTAGGATCAAATGATGGTACGGATTCTTGGCTGTCGTTTCATTTGTGTTAAAGAACAGTTTTTGAGCCTCCTGGAGAGGAGGTTACAGATGTGATAAAATCACAACCTGAAGATGCAAAAACCTCAAGACAAACAATAAAAGCATCTTCTAATTCATTGTCTGAATCTTAATATTTTACATTGGCCTCATAGTTTCATACGCGTTTCACAACTGTGCTTTACAATTCAAAGTATAAAAATGTAGACACAACAGAGCACTGTCACCATTTCCTTATCATTAAAAACTACTAATATCCTCTTCCATAATTAAATGATGACTTACCATCTTGTAAATGTCTTTACTTTCCATAAAGAATTTCTTGTCTGTTTAGCAATCAGTTTTGTTTGCCTGCCTTAAAGTGGCAGGAAATAGTTACCAGCAGTTTCTGATGCGGCTGGTTTAAACAGTATAGAAAAGCCAGGGAATTGCTTTTGTCAAGTAAGCGTTGAGATGAGGCTACACATAGATAGCTGTGTGTGATGTCTACATGCAAAGACATTCTTGGCTACATAAGTGGGATTTTAAGCTTTTAGGTTTAATGTAGGTTTTTAAGAGCAAGTATATGTACCTCAGTGTATCCTCTATACAACTGGAGTAAAGTTTTGTTGTATTACTTGTTGTATTGGCTGATAATGAAGTCCCTAATTTAAGAACAAGAAGCAACTTCACTGAATTTAGATCCATTTACAGTATATGGGTCTTACCTGAACTACAAAGCAGTTCTGCAATTGCTTTATAGCTCGTCAGGGCATAAAAAGCATGTTTTACCACCTCTACGTCTGTTGTACCTCAGTGGGCTTCAGATTGCTACCTTTGTGTTGCCTTGAGTCCTGCAAGACAGCAGCAAAAAGCAGGAGAGGCAGTAGTGTGTTTTCCGGCCATGTGCCCTATGCTTTGTTGGCCTTGGTAGGTCAGAAGAGCAATAGGACGAGGTGCTGGTGCTTGCAGTTCCATGTGGAGCCTGCCAGGTCTACCTAGTGCACTGAATGGGGGGGTGAGTCCGCTCATTACATATTTAATGGTGAGAAAAACGAACTGCCAGACTCTTAGCAGGTTCTTTCTGAACATGTGCAAACTGGAA